ACTGAGCTAATCGTAGAGTACGTTAGTTAATATAATAAGAAACGTCTAGCTTCGCTAATTCACACTAATAACCTAACTGAAGCAGCACATGCCCTTGATACAAATTCTAAAAGTGACGTATGTTTAACTGTCAACTTGAGCTTTGAATCCATGGTTCTGCGTCCTCTAGGGGTCACTATGGGGAACGCCTCGTTGTGACCCGTGTCTGAAGTATACATTGAAAAAACACCAACAATACGTTGGCCGGCGCCTGAGGCACGGAGGAGAATGAGCTTGTGGGGATCACAGGTGGATCTGGCTGATGAGTTTAAAGAGGGGCTTTCCCTCTTGCGCTCATCGGCTGTGGACAAGAGTGAGCCGCTGGAGGATGATGTTGTTTCATTAACATCATCTGATCCAGGGGCCAGTGCTCTGCTGGGTTCAGCCCAGGAAGAGCAGGAAATGTCTGAGGAGGGCGAAGAAGCTGAGGCTGAGCCTTCCCAATCCTCCTGAACATCGAGGCGATGCGCGAAAACGGCTATGAGAAGATGCCCCCTGTAGAAGAGACGCTGGCCAGCTATCTTTCTACGGATGAGACATCTTCTCTTAAAACTCCCTCCTTGCCATCTGAGCCCCTTCAGATTACATCTCGCTTGAATGGCAGGGCATACGCAGCAGCAGGTCAGGCTGTCGCTTCATGCACACGATGGCGGTGCTCCAGGCATATCAGGCCGACCTGCTAAAAGACCTGGCGAGGGCCTTTCTCCTGATGAGGTAGCTGAGTAGTGACGGAGAGACATCTGTGGGTGAACCTGGCAGATATCGGGAAGAAAGAGAGGGGCTTTCTTCTCGATGCTCCGGTTTCGCCTTCCTAACTTTTTGGTACCTCCGTTGAGACGGTGATCGAGAAGTTCAGGGAGGCGAAGGCACGCTCAGCGGCCTTCAAATCCTTCATTCCACGAAGGTCCAGGTCTGAGCCCGAACAACATAGGGGTCCTGGTCCGTCTCGGTCTGAGGATCAGAGACGGGCACAGAAGGCTAGTGTCGCAACTCGTGCCCCTCCCCCACCTGCGTGTGGGGCTAGGAGGAAGCGCGAGTCAAAGGGAGGTAGACAAGACCTGAGGGAGGTGATCCAGACGAGGCGTTCTCAACGCTCTCATCCGGACCAGAGTAAGACCTGAAACATCTACTCACCTCCCTCGGGGGGTTTAAAATCTCTTGACTTGCATAGAAACTACCTTACTGATGGTCCGGACTCGAGGCTTCCTCGGACTTCGCCTCTTGAACTGAGCTCAAGTGCAGGAACCATGGTGGGTGAGTACGATCCATTTCAAATAACTGTTCGCTGGTGGTTGTGTGAACCCTTCTGCTAGCCTTCTTTGCAGTGTTTCCAGGACCTGTCTGTTGTGTTTCTGACCTTGTTTACGGTAGGTCCTCGGTGAGCACCCCCGCTGCTGGACTCAGAACCCTTGATATCGACTTTTACGGTGATGACCTCACTCGTCGATACTGGATCCAGACTGAATGATAGCCCTGTTTCCGGCTTCATGCTTCCTTTGCTCCCTCAGCTAGAGATTTACTGCTAGCCATTCCAGCAGTATACCTTAGATCGAGTTGATGACTTCTCAAACATAGTGTTTTGGGATGCACCATTTCCATCTATGGGCTGCTCTTTCAGAGTGCCACGAGGGCCCCTTATAGAACGGTTTTTAAATCCATGTTATGGTAAGTGTGCACGTAAGTCTTTGTACACTTTCTAAAATCCACACTGTGGTAAGTTCGCACGCTAGTACCCTGCGTTCTTTCTAAAATCCTGTATGGTAAGAGCTATGCGCGGCAGCCTCATGCTCTTTCTTGAGTGGTTTAAAACCCCGATTCCGCCTTGGGCACCACTCCACCTATGTATCCTCTGGATACCTACTTTAACAGGGTGTTGCTACTAGGGTTCTGTTGAGACAGTTCCTTCATTCATATGCAGAGCATGCAGTAGCCCCTGTGTCTGGATACCTGCTTTAACAGGGTGTTGCTACTAGGGGTCTGTTGAGACAGTTCCTTCAGCATATGCAGAGCATGCGGTAGCCCCTGTGTGACAGGCCAAGACTTAATATGATTCTAGGCTCTTGGTCGTATTCCCTTAAAGGAATCTATTCCTGATTCCAAGCCTTGAGCTCTACCCCGGGCCCAGGAGTTCTGGCCCTAACAGGTAAGTTTTTGGGGTATGTAGCCTAGGCCTTTGTCTGTAGGGAATAATGTCGCTGACAGCCGTCTTAACGTCGCAGGGGCAACTCCCATGGCTATGGTAGAGTTGGTACTTCGTGCTCACCATGGTTCTGGCATGCACTCCCCTCAGCATGGTGGCGTGGGTATACCGTTCCCCATAGCGACCCCTAGAGGACGCCTATTTATACTATAGTCGCACTGGTAGTGACGTCATGG